AGATCAGTCACAACAGCTTCAGATTGCAACTTATTTGGACCGAAACGCAGATTGAAACTGCTTTTTCCTCGAAGCTCTAGTTCATTGCCACATACTGACCTAACAGTAGTTTTAACTTCATTTAGATAGATATCATATATAATTCCGTTTGACTAGAAGGCGCAAATCGCTCTTCAAGTGCACTGACTAAATCGGAAAACTTTTGTCTTTTCTCACTTGGTAAATCTCCAAGTACAGCCCGTGCTTGTCCCATTAACGATACGGCCAAATATAACCCTTTTTGACTTTCCGACCAATTATTTACAAGTGCACACATTTCAAAATGGGACAAATAGTCTATCCATGGTGTGCTACCGTCATACTTTGATTTTTGATTTTTGTCTTATCCCTAACGTAACTATTATCAATATGTAACGGCAAAGTATCCCCTTCTTCTAAATCGATGTGTGAAAATTTGACAGTTTTGTGAGTATTCGGGTTGGTGTATGTTGGTAAATCACCTTTTTTTTTATCTCCCTTTCTTGACAATGAGGACCCTCTTGATCCCAGACCCGAATCATTTCTTGTTATAAAAGCATCTTTTGACGAACACCCTGATCTTTAGGTGTTGACGAAACAAAACTCTTGCTGTACATTGTTCCTTCCATATCTTGATTTTGTTTTGTCAATTCATCATCGAAAGACATTTTTGTACTTTAATTTACGATTTAACCATGCATGCACAATATAATAAATGTCAATCAAAGTATTGCCTGTACCACTATCGATCGTTAATCCCTAATGTCAATAATAGACGCAACTAAACTGTGGGAAATTTAAAACGAGAACAGGACAAATTTGATATACAATTTACAATTACGATCTGTGCAAAAGTGAACAGTATGAACATATAAATTAAAATTCTCACAAGACAGTTTGGATATAAGTTTATGAGATGATCAATTTGGATATTAACTTTCACAATGGATTTAAAAATGAACAATTTGGATCCCACCGCTAGCCACCAAATTAGGCAACGTGTACACATGGTAAGCGTGTCTATTTCTATTTTAGATTGGGTTCGTTACCAGTTTGATACTGGATCCAAATTGTTCTATTTACATAACTTTTCTACTTAAAATATATACAAATGGTACAAATTTGTACTATTACAAATTTGTCCTGGGTCAAGAACACACTTGTTCTCTTGGTACAATTATGTACCCTACAAGTTTACACACTTGTCCTTGTTCTCTTGGTACAATTATGTACCCTGCAAGTTATCACACATGTCTAATACGGTACAAAAATACGGTTCAGCTTGTAAACTCTCAACTTTTACAAGTCCGTATTTCTAACAGGCACCAACCTGTTCTTTATTACACTTTAGTAATAGTAACTATTATAAGAGACAACGATCTCAAATATCAACGTACCGTAAATTCAAGTCTTCGTCTTCTTAAACTTATGACAATCGACCTTGAGTAAGGAATTGCTTCTGCTTATATACCACAATGGTAGCCGTACCATTATTGAAGGAGGGGTGTTCTACCAAAGTGCCTCGTTACTCGTATTAAGAGTTTCCTTTGGAACACCCCTTCACATTTGACCTGACCCAAGGTTTACCCGCGAAACATCTTAATCTTTTCTATGTTTATTAAAGTATATACAAATACATAAAATAAGGCTTCTGCCGAACTGTAACTAAGGTAAACTATTGAACCTATGATACAAAATCATCACAATAGCATCAGAAACTGCTCTCGTGCACCGTCAATAAATTTGACGGCGCGCTCTCTACCATTGTATTAAAGCCAGTACTTGTATCCCCAACGTATTCCTACAGATACAGATACAGATCTAGAATTATTATTGGATCGACGAGACATGACATATACTAGGAGTATAACAGTGTGATGTCCTGGTGGTGTCCCCTCAGGATATTTTGTTAATGACATTGATCGTAAAACTATGAAACAGTTTCTTTTTTATTACACACCTATACCCACTTTTAACCAAAGTGATACCCTACCCCTTTGACTGGTCAGAGTAATATCTCGCCATCTCGCCATTTGCATGACAGAAGCAATTCTCCCCAATCTGCTTACCCTAATTTTATTTCTCCATGAAAATCTTCATATATGACAGCTCATTTTACAGAGCAAAATATCAGCAATCTGTTAGATGTTATGTCTTCAAATCTAGGTACAACTTATCGGACAGGAGAGGCGCCAAAATGGTTTTGCAAGAATTACTTGCCGGGGAGAATTATTTTTTGAAAAGTACTTCTACTGGCTGGTCAGAGAGAAGACCCCACAGAATCATTCTCGCCAATCTGTTCGCAATAATTTTATTTCTCCATGAAAATCTTTAAACATGATTTGGGGTTTGGTGGTGGTGGTCGGTTGGGGGGGGGGGGGGGGTGGTGGGTGGGTGGGGGGGGGGGTCTGTCAGGGATCATTTTGGAGAGCAAAATGGTGGCAAACTGGGATCCTGGCTCACCGCTCGACAGTAGAGCCAGGTGGAATACAACAACATGGTTTCGTCAATTTGATATATTAGAATGATGCATCGTGGGATAGCGTCATTTCATGACAAATGGAGGGAAATATTTATATTGTTGCGAATATGAATATGAAATGCAAATTTTGAAAAAACTAGCTTATATATAATACAAACGTTATTGATTAACATCGTGAATCAACTGCTAATTAACGATCCGATCAGGTCTGGTTGCCAGGCTAAGGAGGGGTGGCACGGGGGGATACCGGGAGTACGGGGCGTGAAGCAGGAGTTGAGAGGGAGGTAATCGGGAATATTTAGAGAAAACCCTATCGGATTTTGTCTCGCCTTGACGGAATCAAAAAGCGAGACATAGGTATGCTGTTTCCGGCGTCGGCGGCGGCGTCAACAATGTATTAGTTTGTGATTAGGTCTAGTTCATGGTGAACCACTAGTGGTAGGTCAATGATTTTTGGTATGCAGTTGTATTATCATTGGCACATCTCATTACCATGGAGATTATTTGGCCCCGCCCCCTCAGTCACGGTCTATTGATTTTGAAACTTTGCTTAGTTTACATGTATAAGTTTGTGATTAGGTCAGTTTATGGGGAACCACTAGTGGTAGGTTAATGATATTTGATATACAGTTTTAAAAGCATTGGCATATCTCATTTCCATGGAGATTATTTGGCCCCGCCTCCTCATTCATGGTCTATTGACTTTGAAACTTTTGCTTAGTTTTCATGTATTAGTTTGTGATTAGGTCAGTTTAAGGGGAAGGTTAGTGGTAGGTCAATGATAATTGGTATGCAGTTGTATAAGCATTAGCACATCTCATTTACATGGAGGATATTTGGTCTTTACCCCTCATTCATGGTCTATTGACTTTGAAACTCTTGCTTAGTTTACATGTATTAGTTTGTCATTAAGTCAGTTTAAGATGAACCACTCATGTTAAGTCAATAATATTCGGTATGCAAATGTATTGGCATTTGCAAGTTTCATTTCCATGGAGATTATATAAACCCACCGCTTAATTATTGTTCATTGACTTTGAAACTTTTACATAGTTTACAAGTTAATGTTTGTGTTTAGGTTTGTTTAAAGGGAACGACTTATGAAAAGTCAATGGTATTTGGGTTGCAGTTGTATTAGCATTGGCACATCTCATTTCCATGGAGATTGTTTAGCCCTGTACCTTCAGTCATGGTTCATTGACTTTGAATATTTGCATAACTTACATGTTAAAGTATTGCGATTTTAATTTCAGAATAAAATGGTCCGATAATAGCATTTTAGAATTAATAGAAACCGTTTATTACCTGGGTTTTCAAGTAATGATGTAGCCTTTTATAGCCGTCTATATGGTATAGGTTTTTCTCATTGTTGAAGGCCGTACGTTGCCTATAATTGCTTACATCGACTTCATTTAAACTTTGGTGGGAAGTTGTCTCATTGGCAATCATACGGTTTATTACCACATCTCCTTATATCTATTTATCCGAATAATTCAGTCGTTATATTCCGCTGATCTACGACTACTTCATTAACCTCGCAAGTAGGAGAGATCGATAACGTGGAGGGACTGCATTATTCTGGTAGTATTTTTATATACTGAGTTTCTGTTCTCGAACGAAACGCCACCTTTCGTCTTAAAAAAAAACGGGTTCCTGTATACATGCCATATAAAAATAAAAAAGATATTTTTCTATTTGTTTTATTTTAGACGTTTGTGTTTGTTAATTGATTTAAAGTACTAAGGTATATACTCCATATGGAGGTGCTCCTACTTACAGGAGGCTTATACACAGAAACAGAAACCGAGCGCCATCTGTCCTCATAATGATCGTTAGCATACTACAACGATGACATTTAACGAATCGACATGTTGCAAGTTACAAAACTTGTATATACAAATTGACAATTTACGAATAAAGAATTTTGAAATTACACATTTACAAGTTACAAATTGACAATTTACGATTTAAGAATTTTGAAATTACAAAGATACAAGTTACAAATTGACAATATACGAATTAAGAATTTTGAAATTTCACAGTTACAAATTACAAATTGACAATTTACGAATTAAGATTTTTGACCCTGGTGGCTTTCCATAGATTTATACAGTGCGACATTATAACACATTTGTTTGAAAATTCTTTCTTTATCATTGAATTTGAAGAAACTCGCTCACGATGAAATTGGAACGAAAAAATACTGAAAAATACATAAATATGAAAAAACCTTCATTTTAACAAGCATGCAAAATACAGTTAAGCAAATCAAGAACGCCCTAAAACATATAGTGTGTACACAGTATGAATGATTTTTTAACAATACAACATTCATAGCCGAAGAAGAAGGAATCATTCTGTTAGTCAGAGCCTGATTTTGTCTTTTGTCAACAAGCAGTAATTCTCATGCGGAAATGCGAAAAAAAATTTGTTAAGAACGATGTGAACTAAAGAAAATATCCGAGCCATATTGAACTAATAAACATATATTTTTTTTCAGTTTGTGCAACATCTTTCTTTGCCTTAGATTCCCCTTCAACTCTGTCAACAGGAAATGACTCAAGTTCGGGTAATAATTTATTTCGCCTGATTGTGCATAACATTTTATTAACTTACTTTCTGAGATTTAAAAAAAAAAAAACACCTGAGATTAATTTATATATAACACACACACATGATTACAAATTGCACACTTTAAAAAGTTCAAAAATACAGGCTGAAAATTAGAAATTACACATTGATAATCAAAAGCACGCACGTAAAAAATAAAAATTTACACCGAGATTTGAAGGCACATATTATGTATATATATTTAATTATCCTTCTTAGCGCGCTGTCATATGTACCTGAGGTTACCTATGCTAGGAAATTGTGAAAGACAAATAAGACTATAGGTGAATCACATTATATGAAAACGTATTGACCACATGTTATGAAATGAAAGGCAATTTACACATCATAAAATTGTACAAGCATATGATATGATGACAATTTTACATCTATTTTTTTTTTGTACAGCGGAAAACATATAACGCATAGCGCATATAATATGAAGCAGAGTGCACATAATATAAAGCAGAGTGCATTATTAGTTACATAATGTGCTTGTGACCTAATACGATATAGAAGCTCGAACCCCATATAGAATTTACTGACCCCATATATATCGTATTAGGTCACTAGCACACTGTGTAACGAATTTATTTTACCGACTATCTTAACAAGTGGCATTTAGACTAGTGGCCTATCAGAGTGATCAAGTCTTCAATACCAAGAACTTACTTCCATTGGTCTATACAGAAACAAATGCCAACAATAACAACATGTTAGCTTTTAATGTGTTTTCTGCATTTATTTCAATCGTTCATCATCAATTTCTTCGTCTGTTGAAACCTTTCAGATTTTTCCTCAACAGTGTGTTGTTTTTTCAAAGGGACGTAACACCACTACTAACCGTGTATTGAAATAAACCACGCCTTCTAACCCTGTATTAAATATACAAGTCTCCACGCGGTCACCGTTGCTATTAACCAATCATATTCCTAGAAATGCATAGGAGGTAAGATAAATGACATATGCACTCTGCTTTATATTAATGATATAAAGCAGAACGCACATAATATGAATCAGAGTGCTCATAATAAAAAGACATATGTGCATCATATTGCAATATTTTTTAAAACTATACTTATAAGAGCTCTTTCCGGTTGCCTTTTCACACCAAAAAGTCTGCTGTAAGTTATTGACGGGTGTTTTGTTCACGACAGCAATACTATATTACCCGATCCATGTCAATAATGTATACAACGTTAAAAAGAAGAAATGGTTCTTCTTTCATAAGAAGGTAGTATTGGGTCTAATCATATTTTATAAAACCTAAAATGTGAAGATAAAAAAATTGATTTTAAATAATATAGGATCATACAATTTTAAATGAGTGAACGGGCACATTCATAACGATTTTCTAAATAGGGGAAGTCCTACCTGAATCATTTCGGGACTGATGATATATATCATAGCAATTAGAGAACCAATAAAAGTTTTACAATAGAAGCACATGAATAGTAAAAAATGCAAATACATTTACATATTTATTATACCGAAAAACATTCATCAGATCTGTGAATCTGCACTACTGATAGCCAGTTATGAGGTGTGGATCCTCGGTTTATAATTGTTTTATGATGCAGGTTATTTATATATAATGACGGACAGTCCATTCAAAGCTACTTGTTGTGGTGCAACATCAGCATGGGAATTTTTTGCCGTTAATTATGGAACTGTGGAAATGATGATTTTCAGACAAGCATCTTTGAATGACTATTACTTAGTTGGATCAACGACTGTAATAGTACCTGGTAATTATAAGAATTGCAGAAAAAAGTTTATAATGTTCATTCATGCGTTCATTTGTTGTAATTGGGCGAACAAAAACATGAAATACATGTGTATGAATAAAAGGAGATGTGGGTTAAGGAGAGAGCAACCAAAGGGCACATTGAACCAACAAGATATACAGGGGTTCAGTATATGATGGTGTTCAAAAATAGACAAGTCGCCATGCAACATATCAAGTTATGAATATCCCCAGTTTAGAATAACTGTGAATCATATAAATACTATCAAAGATTTCTATCTATTTTTAAAAGATTCGTTTAAGGAAAAAAAGGATGATAACTACACTTTTAATATCTCAAGCCTTAAATATGATTTTTGTTTTAAATACAAGTATCCTACAAAATATTCAGATATTATTATGTTTAAAATAATTATGCTAAGAGGCAATGCTGGAAGGAAGAACTCATATTAAGAAGTTTGTTTTTCTAAGAGATAAAACTTCCCTGAATGTGACAAGTAAATCGTCAACTCTGAACTTTTATTTGCAGATATGTTATAACACATAAAGAGTTTCAAGTCATAGTTGTTTTTGCTTTAAAATCAGTACATGAAATAACAGTCAACATAAGCTCTATAAAACTTTTAACCGACATAAGACCCAAGAACAAGACTGAAATTCATAATCATTACACAACACATATATACACATATACACACATGAAATACACAGCAAGAATATGAAAGCATAAAAAACATAGGATTACACCAAGATACCATTATAAAAAAGCACATATCATAATCGAATCATTTAAATTAATGCAACAAACTCAAAGCAAGTTAAAATACATCAAGCTGAAAAAGTAGACTTGTATAATTGTTATCATATTTGTCGTTTGGAAATCATACCCTTTATCCTTATTTTATCTTTTGATAATGGCTAACGTTCGTTTAAATAAATTGCCTAGTACATCGAATGTTGAATGCAAACAAAAAAAGAATAAAACTTTCATACTAAATGCAATATTTCATGGTGGTAACAAAATAATCTAAATATAACTTTTGACTTCACATTGAGTTTTCATTATCATGTGACATTTGTAAAATACATTCCATATCAAGGTTTTGAGCAAGATTTCGCAGTTCACTGAACATGCAAATGTGATAGCGAGCGCATGGTGTCTTTCAGACATATATTTTTTATTCTATTTTACGTTTTTACTATATAAATTGCTATTCCAATAATCGAGATCATATATATACAAGGATTGAATAATCACAAACTAGTTTTGTCCAACAGCATATGTCATGTGACTAACAATAATATCTCAAGTTGTTTAATCTGATGAATGAGATTATCACCCGTCCTATTGCTAGAGTAAAAAAACTGAAGTGTCAAGTTTAAAGAAAACGTATTGAAATTAAAAACAAGCGAATACGTATTTTCTTTTCTTTAAAACTAAAGCTCAACTTCTTTAGGTGCCCCGCGAAGTTTCTGACTATTCTTGTATTAACCAACGTTGCTATATAATTATTTGATACTATAAAATATTTCTAAAGTTTACTTTAATTAGTTTTAAAACAACAGAAATAAATGAGTTTTACTGATGTCAACTTTATATTGAAATATTTTAATATAATCGCGTTTCACCTGTCTCAATGCGCAAGTAGTGGCATATAGAGTTAAACATGTATTAAGAAACTCTTTATTTCAGAGAAATATGTCAACACAACGATTTCTTTCTCTTTGACGTCTTCAGAAAGAATAGCAATTGTTGAAGGTGACATGTTGGCGTGGTACGTTGTGAATAAACATTAAGTTTTATGTGACTCTTTTCTAAGTTGCTGATAGAGACAATTAAAATTGGATTCTTTAAAATACATCTACGCTTATTCCATTTTAAATGAGAATCATTGTTTCACTACTTCAGGAGTTCATGCGATTCTGATTATAAATAAGAAGATGTGGTATGAGTGCCAATGAGACAACTCCCCATCCAGGTCACAATGTGTAAAAAGTAAACAATTATAGGTCAAAGTACGGCTTTCAACACGGAGCATTGGTTCAAAGCGAACAGCAAGCTATAAAGGGCCCAAAATTCACTAGTGTAAAGCAATTCAAACTGGAAAACCAACGATCTAATCTATATAAAAAAACAAGAAACGAGAAACACTTATGAACTACACCAACAGACGTTGGTTTTTCTCTATCTACCCATGTTAGTTTGTTTGTAACTTGACTAATTATATCGTACACCATATTCAAATTTAATAATAAAAATTCTCTTTACCATTAGATTAAAATCTTATTATGTTTTACCTTTACTTGATAGGTATACAAATGGACCTAATATGATTGGTCATGCTGATTGTACTATAACAAGTAGATCAGATTGTCCACAAAACAACAAAAGACTGTACCAGCCAGGTGCTAAATTTAACGCAGGAGATTCAATTGACTTTTCATCGGCAGAAACAATAGCTAACAAGGGTTTCTCAATAAAAGTAGCAACAACAAATAGTGAGTAATCTCGATATTGATGTTCAAATAAGAATTATGACAATTAATTTTTACGGGAAATAGAACTAGCATTTTGACTACATTATTTTGGAAATTGTCATTTGAACTGAAAAATCAGTGAAGACACTAAGATTTAACTGTTAAAAAAGATTTAAATGTTACCATCCTTTGTAACTGTAAATGCTTGGGATGTCTAGAATACATGCAGTTTTTGCTGGAGTTCGTGTTGCTCAGTCTTTAGTTTTCTATGTTGTGTTTTGTGTACTGTTGATTGTCTGTTTGTCCTTTCTTTTTTAGCCATGGCGTTGTCAGTTTATTTTCGACTTGTGAGTTTGAATGTCCCTTCGGTGTATTTCGCCTCTCTTTTTGGACTGTTCAAAGATAAAAAGCAGAGCAACTTTATAAGTTACTCACAGAATTTTATTAACCATACTTTCCTTTCATTTCTCCTTTTCAGCCATAAATTTCATTCTATATAATTCAAATTTCAAGTTATGTCACAGAGAACAAAAAGCAAACATCACCTGAATATAAATCAAGCTGTCATATGTCCAACTATTGTAATCCAATATCAAAGAGCCAAATTTAAAAATAAAAATTCCCATGATTCTACGTATCGAGCATTCTTGGTATAATTTTTTACGCCCTTCTAACAGTTTTACGCCTGTAGAAAAAAAAATTATTCCTTGCTTATTTCAATTAACGCCAGGTTTAACATTTTATCTACCCATGTAAGTGCTACAAACTTACATTTCCTGCTATATTACACCCGGATCTTGACACGTAGCTACAAGTTACACCCGGTTTACGCCAGATTCCTAGGCGTAATACGCCTTATAATTTCATACGGGTACATAAAAACTTGAAAACCAAAAAAGGCATTTAGTTAACATAGGGATTCCAGCATTAAGCCTGATAAATACAAATCAATTTTGCTACAGAGAATTCAAGAGATTAAAAAAGTGAAGGCCATCGATATTTTAAGCTGAGCACAATAAATAATATTTGGTGTCATTAACACATTTTCCTGTAAATTATTTATTATGTTGTAGATACAGAACTTACTTTGATAACCATCCAAAACGAAACTGAAATAGAAGAGAGTACACCAATTGGAACTAAAGTATTATACTTTAGAGTTGAAGATACTGATTTAAACGATAACATCACCTTTACCCTATCTGGAGACAGTGAACTATTTATAATTAGTGAAGTTCAATTTGAAAAGGGTAAAAATTTTACTACAGCGCTACAAATCAACATGGTTATATCTTCAGAACTTAAATTTCAGTTAATAGAATATGAGTTCTTACCTAATGGCAATGCAATATATTTTTCTATGATGATCTGAAGATGTAGCGTCTCTATTTGTATGCCACACCTACGATAGTAGTAGGGGCATTATGTTTTCTGGTCTGTGCGTCCGTTCGTTAGTCCGTCCGTCCGTCTGTCCCGCTTCAGGTTAAAGTTTTTGGTCAAGGTAGTTTTTGATGAAGTTGAAGTCCAATCAACTTGAAACTTAGTACACATGTTCCCTATGATTTGATCTTTCTAATTGTAATGCCAAATTAGAGTTTTGACCCCAATTCCACGTTTCACTGAACATATAAAATGATAGTGCGAGCGGAGCATCCGTGTACTATGGACACATTCTTGTTTTGTGTTTAAATAATATGTGCATTCATTATTGGAAGATAGTGAATAAACTCATCATAGATACTTGATATAAACTGTAGTATAATGCTTATCATACTCTTAATCCAGGTATTATATACACTGTAACTATATAACATATTTTTCACTGTTTATTACAGTTACATTAAACCTCAATTCTACAGTGCCAAGGAATGGTGGTCCTTATATAATCACAGTGACAGGGACAGATTCTTGTCAGCATACAGCTTCAGCAACCGTCACAGTTTCTACCTATAACGCTGTAAGTTTGTTAATATGGGTATATTATTGTATCCAATTCATTGTCATATGCATAGGTACATGTAAACTAACGGTACCTGTATATTTGCATAAATAGCACGACTTATTTTAGAACTTCGCAAAAGATATAATAAGCAAAGTTGCATATTCTGATAGCTGAAATCTGTGATTTTTTTTTAGTACAATTGAGAATACAACGATGAAATAGAATTGAGAGAAAACTGTGTCTAGCTCTATGTATAGAAACACCTAACATATATTGATAAAACACAGACATATACATTTGAAAAATTCAATTAAATTGATAACAGAAGTAAACAATCTTATTTATCTATGTTACGTTGTTAATTATGTAAAACGCAAGATGTAATAATCGTCAGAAAAAGTAACATTCTTTGAAATTATATCACATAATATTCATATCCATGTAGCTGGTTTATTCTCTATATAATTACATCAACATGTTTGACTGTTTTATTTGCTTTAACATTGATTGAAATGTTAGAAAAGGATCTAACATTCAATCACAGTTTGCCTTGTCAAACGATTATGTGCCGTTCCAAACTCAAATTTATAAACAAGAACATTAAAAAAACTAGATAGTAACAACATAAGCCATGTATATCTGTCAATGAAATGTTTTATAAACGAAAAATGAAGTATGAGACCAAACTTTCCACCAATGATGATAAACTCGAAAATACAATTCAGTTTATGACCGACGTTCAAAGAAATGCCTTCTATATTACATCTCTATAAAAATCAAAAACTTTGATTATTTCGCCCTAGCGACAAAACATAGCCAAATTATTAAAAATTAATGTGGATACGTGTTTTTCATAAATAATTCTCAACATACTGATCCTTTTTAATCCCGAAATAACTAAAATAAAGTATGCTGGTGCTTGTGTCATTTAAATTTTCAATTTATATGAATTCAATTATAGTTTTTTTTATCATGATTGCAACTTTTAAATATTAAGTTTTGTGTCAAAGGATGTTAAACTATTCCAACGTATCCTTTCTATACACACAGACGTATTTTGTTTCTATTTTTCCGTTTACTTCGTATTTGATTCGATCTTCCGTTTGTTTTAATTCGATTCACTGATGTGTCTTATGTACACGAAATGTGCGTCTGGCTTTACAAATGTTATGCCTGGTAAATTTGGTGAATTTTTACAACCATTGGGTTTCATCGAACTACTGGGATAATGATACACTCTAGGACAAAACGTCCAGCAACAGTTGATGCCATAAAATATCATTGATACGTTTATTTTCTGTAAATTTACAGAAATAATTTGGTTTTCAATGCTCTTCAGCTTCGTGTTTGATTTGTTCTTCCATTTGTTTTGATTCGAGCGCCACTGATGAGTCTTTATGATGACGAATCGCGCGTCTGGCTTACCAAACTATAAGCATGGTATCTTTGGTGAGATTTTAAACAACTGGGTAAATGCGACTGCTGGTGAACGTTTACATATTAGGGTATAACTGACCAAGAAATCAGCACGTTGCTGTTTATATGAAATCATTGATATGTTTATTTTCTGTAAAAACACTGTTTATAAAAAATTATCGAAACACGAAGGTTTCTCTACCCCAAGGTACATATAGCAATAGTCGTATTAGACCATATTTTCGGAAATTTTGGTTTTAAATTTTCCTTAACTTGGTATTTGAACTGGCCTTTCATTTGTTCTAATTCGAACACCACTGGACAGTTTTATGTAGACGAAATGCAAACCTGGCTTACCAAATTATAAGTCTGGTATCTATGAAGACGAAATGCGAACCTGGCTTACCAAATTATAAGTTTGGTATCTATGTAGACCAAATGCGAACCTGGCGTACCAAATTGTAAGTCTGGTATCTATGTAGACGAAATGCGAACCTGGCGTACCAAATTGTAAGTCTGGTATCTATGTAGACGAAATGCGAACCTGGCTTACCAAATTATAAGTCTGGTATCTATGACTATGTAGACGAAATGCGAACCTGGCGTACCAAATTATAAGTCTGGTATCTATGTAGACGAAATGCGAACCTGGCTTACCAAATTATAAGTCTGGTATCTTTGTAGACGAAATGCGAACCTGGCTTACCAAATTATAAGTCTGGTATCTATGTAGACGAAATGCGAACCTGGCTTACAAAATTATCAGTCTGGTATCTATGATGAGTTTCTACATTAGCACATATTTTCCTTAACACGTTATTTGATTTCTATATTTGTTTTTGTATTTAGTGGTTTGAGGATCTTTTTGTTTTTTCGTTTTTTGTCATGACATTTTCAGTTTCTCTTTGACTTGTAAGTTTTGAATGTTCCCATTCTGCCTACTTTTAGATAGCTGTAAATTGGAAGATTTAACATTTCCAATTAATTTTTCTAAGCAGTCTGCGTGATATTATAAAAAATTTGATTTTGTGAATAATCGTATAAAAGCACTCTCCAAATATCTAAGTTTTTATCCACATTCTATTGTGGTTATGGGCGTTGCTTTGCATATCTTATTTGTTAATAGTCTTTTCTGTATTTATCATTTAAAAATGAATATGGCATTCTTCAACATATAGATAGAATTAAATGTTAAATATAATGATATTTTTTTCTTATTGTAGCCACCTATTATTAACAATTTGCCATCTATTCTCGAGATCAGCGAGTCAACGACATCCTCAATATTTCTATACACAATCAATGTAACAGATGCCACAAATGATGAAATATGTTGTACCTTAGCATACACATTGCCTGTCAGTCATAATTTTAATTTTACAAAGGACGATGGAGGTATGTGAATTTAAAAAAAAATTTCATTAGCAATCATATCACATCTTCTTATTTTGTATCTATGGACATAAACTCATCATTGATGAGATGAGAGTGGTGGACGCTTATACAACTTTATACCTAATACCATTGACCTACCAAACCGCCTTACATTGACCTAATTACAGACTTTAACATGTAAAGTATGTACAAAGTTCAAAGTTAGTTAAGCATTACTTAGGGGAACGGGACCAAATAATCTTATTAATATGAGATGTAGTAGTAGACTGTCCACTTATTTGACATTATCCTAAACTTGAACAAATTATTGACGCCGCCTCCCTCGCATGAAACAACATACAACTGCACCGAGACGATATAGTTACCTATTCTGGAATATTGGTACGGTTAATGGTATAATAACATTTGATTCCAATTTTTCTAGTTTGTTAAAAACATTTTCAAGACTATCTTCTCAAATTAAAGTTTAGTTCTATTGCAAATTGGACAAACCTATATTTCCAGCTTATTAGATTGACCATCCTCAGTTACACATCTGTCACTCAATGCCACACAACGAAAATATAAATTCATTGAATGAAATAAATGTTTTATCTACGAATTGGTAATTCCCTTAGGCTGATAAGGTACAGATGATGATAGCAGAACTTATAAGGAGAAGTCTGTGCCTTATATATAACACAGTTACGTTCTGTGCATTTTCTTGTGAAAGAGCACTGTAAAATTTTAATAATAAATAAACAATTTATAGAATATATCTTATTTCTACCAAAGTAGCCAAAATTAGCAATTTACATATTCGAAAGCAAAGTTATGCAAGATGACTGTTGTGTTTTGTAGTATATTCAATATGGACTGTTGAAGAGCCGGCATTTGCATACAACGATATAGACTCATATCGAATCTTCATATGCTGTCAGGATGACCTTGGGTCAAGTACAAGTTACTTAATATTGAGACTGACAGAGGTTGCTGAAACTAAACAATATATCCCTCCAGGTACTTATGTCACATATATAGTTAATATAAGACCACAGAAAATATGATGATACTTTAGCATGAACATCGGAGCCTAAATTTAGTTTTCGAACATAATGAATAAATCGATGTGGCAATCATCTCCGGATGTACATAGGTGATAGTATTTGCATTTCGGAATTTAGGTTGCTCTTTTGTGTACCCTACTTAAGTCAATGTATCTGAACAGTGTGATTGGACAAAAAAATACAGTATCTACTGAACATTGTTTCCCAAACTGAGGGATGAATCAGGTGAAAATATATTCTTTGCCTGGGCCAAGAAACGTGTGTTTGGGTTTATCATTCTGATAGCAAAAAGGCATTGGAAAGTTTTAAAATTTATTGTCAAAGGTAGGTTTTGTTAGAAAATTTGCAATCATTTGAGCTTATTTTCAAATGATATGTTACGCTTCTGTCTCAAGTTAGGGTGAAGGTTGGCGCCTGTTAAAACGTTTAAACTTGCTGCATTTTTATGCACCTGTTCTAAGTTAGGGGCCTGTTGTTGAGTGGTTGTCTTTTGTTGGTGTGGTTCATAAGTGTTTCTCGTTTCAGGTTTTTTATATAGATAAGACCGTTGGTTTTCCTGTTTGAATTTACACTAGTCATTTTGGGGCCCTTCTGTTCAACTCTTTATACATTGTGACTTGGATGGAGAGTTGTCTCATTGGCACTCATACAATATCTTCTTATTTATATATATATAATGTTGAAAAAAAATGATTCATTCATCGTTACGTAATCAAATGATGTTAGTCATTAATCGTGAAGTAAAGTAAGGACATATCAGTTAAAAAAGAATATCAGCCATTGTTGAAATTATTTTTGTTTTTATACAGATTGGTTCTACAGAGCAATTATTATTTCTTTGCTGCCTATATCATTTATGACAATACTTTCCGTTGCCACGCTTGTTATTACCATGTTTTTCCTAGACGGCGATATTATAGTACCAGAAAGGACTGAAACGGCAGTATTAATCAGCAGAGAACCAACACTGGTATCAGATGACGACGATGCTACTATTCTATCTGAAATAGAAAATACTCTAATTAAGCCTGTGAGTAGGAGTATAGAGTTTAAGGACTTATATAAGAATGAAGTCGTACAGATACCTGTATGGACAGGGAAATTTCGTAAAGCTCCTCAGGAGACTGCCCAAAACGCATGGCGTGAAATATCTAACATTGATATTGAAGAGCAATCTAATTTGCCGTCTGGACCACGAACGAAAGGAGATGCTTTTGGTGTACAATTGAAATTATTTCACTTTGGTAAAAAGCCGATGAATTCACTTTCAGCAGAGGAAAAAGCAACTCAAATGCTTCAGAAAAAGAATGCACTTAAAGAAAAGTGGAAAGAAATAATTGCAAAAGCAGAATCAGATAAAAAAAAGAAAGAAATAAAAAAGAAGACGGAAAATCATGATTTGTCACCAGCAGTAGATAAACAAAATTCGCTCATACAGAGTAGAAGCAATTCAATCAATATCGCCGAGGAAAAAGGAAAATCTCAAAATAGGAGCAGTTCAAAAAATACAAGTGAAGAAAATAGAATATCTCCATTAAAGAAAAAAGCCTCCACCACAGTAATCAATGAAAGCAATTATGACATTATTGCTGAGAAAATGTACGAATCAAATGAAACAGAGAGCCTTGTTTTAAACATTGACACCCAGTCGTCCGATAGTGCTGCTGACAATACAGACACAATAGGTGATGAAAATTCTAGCGTTGCTAATATGGATGTGATGAAAGATGAAAGTGAAAATCTCAGTGTATTCAATGAAATCGTTGAAACAGGTACTGCAGCTATTGTAACTGATATGAAAAAGTGATTTTTATATGGCATGTAATGTGTTTTGCTGAACAGTTGAATCAATGTTACTTTCCATTACATTTTAGGTATATGATGACAGAATTTTTCGCTTGCATGAAATAGTGATTTTCACACAATTTTAAAATTACCCTGCTGTTTATGACGGTACTCTTTTGCTTCACTTTTATTAGTTATGAAGAGTAACATATTGTAAAAACGTATACAAACAACTTTAAGTCCTATTTAACAGCTTCCCATTTTCCCTTTATTCGCTTATAATTTAATCAAAAGCGCAAAGAGGATTGATAATTGTGTAAAATACACATACAAATGGATTAACCTTCTTGGGATGTATAATTCTGCAGCCATATCCAATATAATAAGGATTTAGTGTATCTTTAGAACTGCACCGAACGGCGCTAGGCTGTAAAAGATTTTTGTACACGCTCCTAATATGATAAGAAATCACTTTCTGATTTACCCATTGAACAAAATCGGCTATTATTGTACAAATTCCCCTCCTGAACATGAAATAACTGTTTGATGATATGGAATATCAATAGAAATGGTTTAGTTTAACATTCGAAATTTAGTTCAATTAATTTTTTTGCCTCATGAGATTAGCAAAAACAGCTGCATTTGATAATGCAAACACATAATCAAGCGACTACGTGAAGGGTAAAAAAGGCATATACGTTTTGTCAAATACCATGGCAAAGAGGGTAAGCAATGCATATCCTGTGCATAACCTTGTAGATGGTGAAATATGAGCAATATTCATCTTGTTCACGGAAGTACGTGAAAATACACACTTACTATCAACCAGTCAAAATCCAAGATATATGTATAAAAGAGTAATTATGTGCAATATCTGCAATTATAAACTACGGATTATGTGTAGTATTTGTAGCTGTAAACGTATTGTAGTTAACAAGTTTATACGAATTTGATGAACTGTATTTGACGTCGATGAGGCATCAACCCATCATCGACACAAACAACCAAAAGACATTTAGACGGTTTTGCTAAAAGACACGTGCATATAATTAACGAAATTAATGAGAAATAGAAAAATGACGTGAAAATGTAATCATCACAATCACAATAGGTCTTCTTGCACGATAAATGAAAAATACAAATACTATTATATATTCATGTTAAAATGTACTAATGGAAATATAATAAGTTCTATCCACGTAAAAAGACTACGAATAATGATGTCCAAATATCAAAGACACGAACCATAAAGAATTGTACATAGTAATACACAATTGGTTAATTTTTAAAAGGTTATTGTCTCTAATGCCGTGTTATCATTTTGGTTCTTATGTCCGCATTATACAACTTAAAGCTCATTATACTTAATTGATTTTAAAGGAGGTGTTTATTCTTTAGAAAATAATTGATCTGTTAAACAGATTGATGTAGTATCGTCAAAATGATCTTTACAACAAATTAAATTTCAAGACCTATTTGTGATCAGAGGTGGCTAGTATATGTGACATGCAATCTAGTTCAAAAAGACAAAATGTTGTTATTTCAGTTGTCTCATATAATGATTACAATAGGGTTAAAATACGGTATTAACACATTCACAGGAAAATATTTTGTCGAAAATTGTCTTAAAACGACTCTAAAAGGTAAGATATAAATACAAAAGCCTTTTTTACTAATATTCCCAAAGTGTTTAGAAATGTACATGATTTTTAACACACATATTAGAACAAATATGCAGTGTTAATTCTACAATAATTAATTGAGCACTCTATAGCCTTAATTTATTACGGATTGACAGTATTCAAATACTGTGTAATTATTGAAGGTTGAATGAAATATATTTCGCACTGATCTATTTTTTTGGTTTTTGCGTTTTTTAGTCTTAAATGATAGAAAATAACATTTAGCACTGAACTATTTTCTGGTTTTGGAAGTTTTTTTTAGTCTTAAATGATAGAAAATAATTTTGAATTTAGTAATCAATATGCACTTAAAAATGAAAGTGAAAGAAAGATTCAAGCAGTAGAAAATAGAATTTGATTTCTTCAAAAGGACGACTAATACCAAATAGTGTTGATAGCCTGAATTGGTACATACACTAAATTTGGTGGAGTTGAACCCTTTTTACGTGCATCACACCCTTTGTTAGTTTTGTGTTTTCTGTTGTTTTTATTGTTAAATTGTGGAAAAATGGAAAAACTATTTCATAACTGTTGACCAGTATTATGTGGGGGATATATCAAAGTTGTTGTTGATCGTGAGTTGCGGGAACCGGACGAATGGTCAAAAATGTGGTTTTATGCGAATTTGATACTAGTGAGAGGTTTAGTAAGCTATAAAACCAGATTTAATCCACCATTTTCTACATAAGAAAATGCCTGTACCAAGTCAGGAATATGACAGTTGTTTTCTATTCGTTTTGATATGTACTTGAATTTTTGATTTTGCCATTTGTTAAGGGATTTTCCGTTTTGAATTTCCCTTGGAGTTCGGTATTTTTGTTATGTTATTTTTTATACGTACAAAAAAAAAATTCAAACATTGATTCTCAACATCTTAAGTTTTCCTTAAAAACAAAACAAAAAAAACCAAAAAAATCCCTGTAACAAAATGTCACAAACACCTTTGGGTAATTCTCTGCTTTGGAGCTCGGTGCAATAGTCATTTTGATAGCTTGTTTTCCAGGGTTTACAAAACAAAATAAAATATATGAAAAAAAACTAAAGTTGCGACTTTGTTGGAAAAGGTTGTATAAAGGCTGTCGAAATAGGAATGAATAATATGTAGCCAGAATAATGAATTGTATATGGTTTATGAGCTCTTTGTCAGTAAAAAAGAGACAGAAGATACTAATGGGATATTCAAACTCACAAGTCGACGACAAACTGACAACGACATGGCAAAAAACGAAAAGCGACCGAAAGACAAACATCAGTATACAAAACAACATAGAAGTTAAAGTTAAAGACTAAGCAACACGAACCCAACAAATACAGGGGATGGTCTTAGGTTTCCCGGAAGGGTAAGCAGATCTTGTTTCATATATAACACCTGTCGTGTATATTTTATAGTACAACAATCTGTAATTAGTCTATAAAATATAATGTTCAATTGACGAGGAATAAGTAGATCTGATTTTTCTGAGTATTTTATCACTTTAAAAATATTGATATTAGACTTTTTATCCATTTAACGATTTTGTTACATTATTGGCTTTGTCTAAAGATAAGCGTACAGTAATTGGTGTTTGGTGTGTATATTTTTGGTTTTATATTTAAGCGCATGTTATGAAAATAATATTATACCCATGTGTCTTCCGCGTTTAAAATCAGTGTATATATCACATCAACAAGAAATTCATTTGTGTAAAAATGCATATCGTGCATCAAAAAGCTTCAATTTCTTTTCTTTAATTAATTGCCCCAGAGTAGACGCTCTTGTCGATGAATGTAAAGTATTCGAGGATATCACAGGCATTATCGTAGCAACTAATTTGGCATTCGATTGTGTTATTTACCTGTACACACGTAACTTGGAAAAAGCAAAACAAAAGAGGAAATAAGATGAGTTATCCTTCTAATGCACATGTTTACCTTAACTGCTTTTGGTGTCCTTTTATGAATCGTCCATTTTTATACATCGAAATTCTATTATCATCTGCATATTGGAAATATATATCCTAGATTGAATGTCTTGAATGATGGAGGGTTGTTGCTTTCAAGAAGGCTATCTTACCCATGGTTCTTAATGGTAAAGTTAAATTGATATTTTCAAATCTGCAAAAGCTTGTAGGTTCTAAATATTGACGACTTTTTGTGTAAACAAAACATCATTACACGTCTATGCTAGTTCCATTTTCATATATAATCCGACTGCCTATGTTAACACAGGCGACCTAAACATTGCCAACACCCTTTCCTGTAAATGTGTTAATTTTAGGTCCTACATGGCGTGAGACTAAATCCATAAATGAAATACAAAACTATAAAAGTCTAATGGATTTAGTCGAGAATTATGTCCACCAATAGGATTAAAGTACAAAAATAGAAAACAGATACTCTTTTCAAATAGGTTAGGACTGCGAGGTCGTTGATACACATTAAAATTAAAAAAAATATCAAAGGTGCGAATGTTGCTAAATATCTTCATTATTATACCCTGTCAAAAAGCTTTTTGTTCCCGCTGGAAAACCCAAGCTAACATCGATTTCTTGTTTTGGGGGGGAGGTCAAATAGTATTACAAAAATAGCGAACTCCTAGGCTTTTCGAAAATAAAGGGGAAGTCCATAAAAACTGACAAAATCAAATGTTAGACTTTATCAAGCAACGGAACGATTTGAAAACAACTGTCATATTCATGACTTCGTACAATTTTTTTCCGAAAAAGTGGTGGATAAATCACATTACATAAACTGCTTGATAAAGGAATTAGATATTAACATTTCCTTTTGAACCTCAATATATACTCCCCATTGTTCTAAGTTCCAATGGATTTTTCAATTAAGATGAAGAACTAGATCTTCCTTTACGCTGCTGGATACCCACATTACACAAATGTCTTTATACACAACGATATATTGTTGGGTTTGCCATCTGCTTCACGAAATTACTTCCATATTCTTAATATCTAGTTTATCAGCAATCAAAGCCAAGCTTTAGTGTTACTGTGAACCTACCTTTTCTAAGGGCGTTGTAAATCAGATGTGGACAAAATTCAAAAGACCTGTTTCAATACAAAATTGTAAGTCTCTCTCCACCTGCAATGTTATTAATTCATTTTTTACTTTGGTACTGGCATGAAAATACGGATATTGTGTTATGAAAATTTGCTGTAACAAAATTTGTGAAATTTACTTAAATTAAGGGATATATCGCCCTCATGCAAAACTTTGATTCCTTGCCCGGCTTAGGCTTACTTTTTGTCCTATTTGGTTTCATGAGTTCTTCCAAGATTCTAATAAGATGTGGATGTTCAAATGTTTAGGTCACGAGCATCACTTTAGGTGTACTACCACCAAATCATAGTACGTCACATCCGGTTGCATACGAAAAAGGGTCGAAAAAAATTTTCCCTTGAATTTGACAGTTGTAGGAAATTAATCCTACATTTAAGTAAAAAATGTCTGGGTCATTAACATGTATCTTGGGTGTTTCAAAGCACCATTATTTTTTTATTTGGTGTTTCTATAGAATATTTTGGAAACTTGAGGTTACATGGTTACTGAAGCTTGTACACAGGTAAAAAAGAGGTGAAAATTTGATCTGTTAACTTCCAGTGATGGTTATTTTCTTATATGCAATGAAATGTTATGTGAAATTTTGTCTATAGTACTGCACAGGATAAAACTTTACTCATACCAAGTATTTCTTTATTTGAAACAAAGATAAATTCTGCACAATTTTTTGAAAAGTGCAAATTTAACAAAGACTAATAGGGGAAAATCAATGGTGGTATCACACCTGAAGAGACATATATTTGTCGAACTGCGCATCTGGTACAGTAAAATTGGTACCGTTAATGTTATTTGACTTCCTTTTATTTAATATTGTATTTCTCATTCTAAACTAATTATAGATTGCACGAAGTAGGC